TCCCTGATGGCATGCTGGGGTGCGAAAGCGACCGTGAAATAGTCGTAGCACTTGGGCGCACTGCCTGAAGCGCAAGTTACCTCAGGCACTGGGATGATCACTCGACCTTTGTATTTTCGGTGTGGTGTGTGTGCGCGCGCGTGTGCGTGTGGTGGGGTTGGGGGGGGGGGGGGGGGGGGCGGGGGAAGGGCCGTTCTCGAATATGTGAGGTTCGAGGTTGCGTTTCCCCCCCCCCTCCCCCCCCGAGTATGAATTGATTTTTATAGGGGGCCCTTGGGTAGGATATGGTTACCCAGGGCCTGCGCAATAGCGGTGTTCTCGCCGTTCAGCCCAACACTGTCCCTCCAGCAGTTGGAGTATATGCTGGTGACGCCGAGATGCTTTAAAAGAACATCTATATATATATATATATATATTAATCACTCTGTGTGGCCACACACTGGAATCACTAGGCTGCCATGCATCAAGGTAGCGGGCATTCCAACCCCCGCGTTGTGGCCCTCCTCCCGGAATGATCTCCATCCTGCTTTCCTCATCGTAGCCTGGACCTCGAGGAGCGACTGCCCCTGGAGCTTGTGCTCCTGCACCAGCACGATGTGCGTGTCGGTGCTCTTGATGGTGCGCTTCGCTGAGCCCCAGCCCGAGCCGTTCACGGTGAGAATGCTAAGACCTTCGCTCATCTTGGATCCTTTGACATGTACTGGTACCTCGGCCTCGGGGCCGTCTTGGGCTAGTCAATGGTCATCGCCCTCCCAGTCTCTGGCCTGCTCGCGGCTGCGGCTCCTGCCTCTGTCGGCGGGGGCACCCTTACCTTCGCCGATGTGCGCGCCCTTGGCCCCCTTGCCCTGGCCGCCCCCTGCGGGGCTCACTGGCTGCTGAGGCATCGCCTGTTGCTGCCGCGAAGCCATGGCCGCCTTTGCTGGCGGGGCGCTGGCGGGGCCCTCTGCCCCTGCGGGCGCTGGGGCAGAGGGGGCGGCCGTTGCAGCCTCCTGCGCCATCCTCTGCGCCTCTGCCGCCACTGCATCTGCCCGCGCCTGCTGCTGACCTGCTGGATGGTCGCGACGAGCGTCTGCATGGGGCTGATGAGGGCCTGGTTCTCGTTGCCCGAGAGGCGGCTCTGGAACGCATTCAGCTCGCCCAAGAGGGAGTCGATCGATCCGTCAGCCTGTCCCTGGGCCGCTGCTCCTTGATCTGTCGGTTGAGCCGCCTCTGGTGTTGAATGTGATGGCGCCAGCTTCTGGACCACGGCCACCTGTTCCGCGATCGTCTGCTGGCACTCCGAAATTTGGGTCTCCTCGTCCGCAATGAGGGACCTCTTCTCTTCGATCGTTTGCTCCAGGGCGGCGATCTGGTCACGGTACTTGCCTATGTTGGCGTCGTGCTTGCTCATCGCCGTCTGGGCCTTCAGCAACTTCTGGTTGGCCACGACGAGGAGCTGCTGAGGCGTCTTAGAATTATCTCGTTCCTAACGGAGGTGTTCGATCGCCTCCTCCACTTTCTGCTTCGCGATGGTGCAGCCCTCGGTCCCCGTAGCCTTGCCCAAGCTGTCGAGCAACTGCTGGCATCGCGTAATCTGCTGGCCGTGATTCACCCATGGCGGCTCGGACGTGTCGCCACCTCCCGTCATTGGGTCGTCCATGCCAGTCGTCTTGGGCGGTGGCGGGATCTTCGGCGCCGCCGTCTGCCAATGCACTCCACACATCCTGCAGTACGCCAGGCGCAGGTGGTTGCTGGCCGTACACTGCAGGCATGTCCAGTTCTGGGTTGGGGAGGTTGGCGGCTGCGTCCCTTGCTCAGCTGGAGATTTGGACTTCGGGCTGCCCTTGGCGCTCTTGTCCTTGCCCTTGCCCTTTTTCCTCGGAGTAACCAGAGTCCATGACATCTGGGCGTGTGGATTGTGAAAGAAGCCTGAAAGAAAAAACGCCTGCAGCAACACTGGGCTGCAGGGATCGTGCGGGAAAACCGCCTGTCGGTAAAAGGAGACCCCGAGCCCAGGCTGCGGGGCTCTCACCCCCCTTAGAGCCCGAACGGGTTCTAAAAGAGGCTTGAGCCAAAATGGCTACGGACAGTCCCGGCCCTTTCCCCGGGACCAGCTTCTCATCCTGAATCTTTTTGTGGACGGCCCCGAGGCCCAGCGAGGGCTCCCCGAGGCCGCCGCCGGGCAAAAAGCCTCCCGCCGCCACGGCCCAATCAAAAACCTCCCGGCACGGCCGAAGCAGGCCGAACGGCCGATCTGTTTTACGACGCGATCACGTCTACAGTGCGGGCGCGGCCGCCAGAAACCCTTGCAAGAAACCCAACCCTGAAAACCCGCGCGCGAGGTGCACCCCAGGGGAAACCCAGAGCACCCTTGACGTAGCAGCCTCTTCGACGGCTGGGGACATGCACCGCGCAGGTCGCGGAGCGAAGAAACCCGGAGTGCCCTGACGAAAAGTAGACGGTTTCTGTTTGTTTTTGTTGTTTGTGTTTTTGTGTTTGTTTTGTTGATGTTGTTGTTTTTGTTTGTTTTTTTTTTTTTTGTTTTTTTTTTGTTGTGTGTTGTTTTGTTGTGTGTGTGCTTGTTTTTTTCCCACGATGCGCGCTCCCGCTGCAGGACCACAGCCAGGATGGCTCCCCGGGGGCCCCTCTGCCTCTCGGCGGGGGCCGCCCCCCGGAGATGCACCGGGGCGGCCCCTCCGCCGGGGGGGGGGGGCCAGGGGGACGCCCTGCCTGCGCTGCGGGCTGCGGCCTCGTCGTCGACCCCCAGGGTCGAAGCATCGAGGGTCTGTTTGATCGAGATCGTCGTCGTCGCCGCCGTCGTCGTCGTCGTCGTCGTCGTCGTCGTCGTCGTCGTCGTCGTCGTCCTCGTAGCAGTCGTCGTCGTTGTCGTCGTCGTCGTCGTCGTCGTCGTCCTCGTAGCAGTCGTCACCGTCGTCGATCTCGAGTCGTCGTCGTCGTCGTCGTCGTCGTCGTCGTCGTCGTCGTCGTCGTCGTCGTCGTCGTCGTATTCGTCGTCGTCGTCGTCTGCGCTGCTGGCTGCGGGAGGCTGCGTGGGTCGGGCTTGACTCAAAGGGGGCGGGATCGAGCGGGGGGGGGATGCGGGAGGGATCGAGGAGAGGGAGGAGGGATCGAGGGGGAGGGAGGGATCGAGGGGCCGTTGTGTACTTCAGGAGACCGCCCAATATGCGGCATGCAAGGACGACGATTCACGCGGCAACTCAAGAAGGGCAATATCATGTGCACTAATGTGAAGTATCGGTGGCAATACCCTCGGTGCGCAATCATTCGGCCCGAGCCTGTGCGGATGCCAGCGCTCTCAGCTCGGCATACTCTTGCCGCCCCAACCATCAAACTCCCAGCGGTGGAAACATGTGAGACAGGTTACAAAAGTCAGTCGTTGTCATCTAACTTCACCAAGAGTGCGTCTGCAGAGGCTGCCTCGACACATTTCGCAAGTAAATTCTCCTTCGGGATCCCTGACCATAGCAGCCTCCAGTGCACTTTTGCGGACACTGGCACGTTCCGCCTGCATCGAGTCATTAGCCATGTCCTCGGCCGACATCTGTGGAATGCTCTCAGGCTTCACCGAGCCTGTCAGTATTTTTCGACGGAACAGTGTGCTGCGTCCACCCTTCAAGTTGAAGATCCGCCACCGTGCCTTCGACACGCAAAACAGTGCCCCAAAGCTCATGCAGCTCTGCGAGGTAAACGGGTTGTGGTTCTGAAGGGTTCTGTGGGGCCCGAACCCCTGGTTGCCCAGGCGGTCCTGGGCGGCCCTGGGCGATCCTGGGCGCTGCCAGGGTGTCGCCCGAGCCCTTGGGACGCCAGGAGGGCTCCAGAACAAGTCAGGATGACCCTCAGAGGCCCCGAAGACGGCCGAAGAGGATCCATAGTCGTCGAACGATCCGTCCGAGACCGTTCAAGGGGGCCCACCGGACGGCCGAAGATGCCCCCAAGACGTCCCGAAGAGGCCTCCAAAAAGGCAACAATCGCTGATCTTCTGAAGTTCTGCCTGTGTGCAAAACTCTGCGTTTTCGCCTACAGTCAAAAAGCCCTACTAAGGACGCGCGGCAAGGACGCAGGACCCCTGGAAGCCGAAGTCGGGATTTCTTGGGGCGGCGGGCGACGACAACCCCGAGCACGCAGGATCAAGGAAGAGCAGGGACGCAAGGGTACCCTGAGCAAAGTCGCGCGTCCTTTTTTTTGGGGGGGGGGTTGTTGGCCGCAAGACGGCCCCAGAGGCCCCCAGGACGCTCCAAGAGGGGGCCCCGACCGGGGGACCCGAACATGGACCTGTCGAGCACTCGGCCCGGGGAGGCCCCCCAGGAGACCCCGGGAAGCCCCCCCGGAGACAGCCAGGAGCTCCCAGGAGGCCCCCAGGGAAGCCCCACCAGGAGGTCCTCGCCCCGCACGCAGCAGAAGAAGAAGGCCGCAGCCGATCCTACGACTCCTCCTCCTCCTCCTCCTCCTCCTCCTCCTCCCTCTTCCTCCTCCCCCTCCTCCCTCTTCCTCCTCCCCCCTCCTCCCTCTTCCTCCTCCCCCCTCCTTCGACAGAAATGAGACCGGGGTCAATGTAAACGAGCCCCCAAGAAGCTCCCAGGAAGTCCCCAGGCTGCCCCCAGGAGGCCTCCGAGAGCGCCCCCCAAAAGACCCCAAGACACATCTCCCTGAGGACTCCGGCCCGCAACCCAGGCACGGTGGCGGGATAGGCCGAAGGCCACTCGATGACTGACCTGCATTGGTTCAGATACGTTCTTTCAGACTGTGATGCCAGCTGTGTGTAGAGAGCGCCCTCTATCGCGGTCGCTGCCTGTACCGGAGCACTCAACTTGACTGGGTCCATTCCTTCGGACAGCAAGAGCTTTGTTTCTGTCTGCAGGGTCTCAACGAGCTTCTGCCTCACTTTCTCCCGATGTGGAAGCAACCTGCCAACTTCACAGGCTTTGTTTACAGCTGCCATACTCCTCTCCGTATTATTTCTAACGCTGCCCACGGTTGTTCTGTGTACTGGCGCTCCAGTGATGGCACCACTGGTGAAGTGTTCTTGCCTGGCTTGTGCAGATAAGAATGTTGAAGCAGAGGATGCTTTGTGTCTCAACTGCATTTGCGACGGCGTCTGCCCACCATTGCCAACGCTTGCATCGGCAGACAACTCGCGTTTTCGATGCTTGAGCCGCCAACTCTCCAACAGCGAGCTTGCTTTACTACGCACAGACTCTGCTACGAGCACGTCCCTAGAAATCGATCGAACCACTTTGCCGACATCGGTCTCCCTAAGTAAAGTCTTGGACACCGTACCTAAGCATCTCAAGGCTTCCAGCGCGTCCAACAACCTGCATGGCGAGGTAGTGCCAGACAACAAGATGCCCTTCAAACGTTGCACCTCAGACTGCATGGTGTCCACACCGCTCAGGTCCGCGCACGGTGCCCCGTCGTGATGGGGCATGTGTTATGTTACCGCGAACCGTGTGATGCGACACAGTGTGAACCGACTTCGATATTGGCTGCCTGCCTCATCCCGGGCGTTGGTTAAGGGAACGAAAACGGAATAAACGTAAAAACCTTGAGGGCCTCACGGATTTCTTGGATCCGCGCTGGACCCCCCTGCCCGGCCGGGCCGCGCCGGAGGCGCCGCCAGGGGGCCCCAGCGCCGATCCGAGAGACCTGCCGGACCTCCGAGTTTTTATGTTTATGACATTTTCTTCTTTCCCCTACCCAGACATCCGACGTCTTGATTTTTTCGAGACGTGGGTCCCCGACCTCCCGATCACTTCCCCGGGACCGGGTTTTCATCCCGCGTCGTTTTTTGACGGTCCCGGGGCCCGGCGAGGGCCCCGAGAGGCCGAAACCGACGAGAAACCCTCGTCTCGACTTTTTTCGAGACGCCCGAGGTCTGGGCACTGACCGTGGAGTGGTCTGCGCGCGCTCGCGGTGCACGCAGAAGGCTGGCTCGAGCCGGGGCGGCTGCGGAGCCGCAGGCTGCTGGTGCCCGGTGCTGCCCTCGCGGGCTATCCGCCGCCCTCCGTGGTGTTTGCTCTCGGGGGGAAGGGGGCCTTCTAGAACGCCGTAAGGTTCGCTGCTCCCCGGACGCACTCT